TCAATCTCTCTCTCTCTCTCTCTCTCTATATATATATATATATATATATATATATATATATCGAACAGAGAGAGAGAGATTGATAATTAGTAGGGATAATTGCAAGGAGTATTTTAATCCAAAGAGAAGTCAATGTAAAAACACAGCAATATAATAATGAATACGAAATTCGAAATAAATTATAATCAAATGGATTTTTAAGGATTCTGTATTCATTATTATTTATATATATATATATATATATATATATATATATATATATATATATGCCGCTCGTAAACGCACACACATATATATATGTATGTATGTGTGTGTGTCTCGATATATATATATATATATATATATATATATATATATATATATATATATATATATATATAGAGAGAGAGAGAGAGAGAGAGAGAGATAGAAACAAAAATAGTGAAAATAAAAGATAAAGCTTAAAATATTAAATAAAATAAAGGGGTTTAATATAATATTATTAATACGCCTATATCAAACTCTACTACTCAGCGTTATACCTGCAATCTCTGGATAATATATGTTGGGTTAGGCCACTTTGGTGTAGTGTAATACGCCTGATTGTGTTATAGCAGGAAACTCTAAGTGGCCTATATTTATGTTGGTACTATTAAAAATAGCGACTTTCATAATAATCATATAGTATAGTATAGTATAGTATAGTATAGTATATATATATATATATATATATATATATATATATATATATATACACAGCAGTTATACATTATCAGTATATATATATATATATGTGTGTGTGTGTGTGTGTGTGAGTAGTCTTCAAATATACAGAGATCTGTATCTATATTTCAAATTAGTGTTCATATATATGTGCGTGTTTATACTCATTTGAGATATATATACATATCTGTATATCTGAAAGTATATATTCATATTTATATATATATATATATATATATATATATTAATACTAATTTGAAATATATATTACATATGTCTGTATATTTGAAAATAACTCACGAGCACACACACACATTATATATTATATATATATATATATATATATATATATATATATATATATATATATATATATATATATATACTACAGCCCAAAGTTTGGGGCCAGCCTATATTTCTTTTAAAAAAACATAAAAATGAGAAAGATTTAAGTAAAAGATAAAATGTAAGTACCTACCGTGCATTTTCTTTTATTTTTCAGTCTCTCCCCAGGCTCCTCTTACTACAAAAAAGTTCAAATTTGGATTCGTCTTTATGGTGGTTTTATTAACGAAAACAAAATATGATGCTGTTTTATGACAATTTTTTTATTGTTAAATGCTTATTTTTTTTTGTCAAAAGGAAAGCAAATAAACTGTAGTTACTGAAATTTTATCGCAACTGTTAATTTCTTAAGAAGTCATGGATTTTTTATTTATTAATCCGACAGATATCATCACTTAAACGTTAATTTAGTGGCTACCTATATTTTATTAAACGCTCTATTTATCTATTAAACATTAAATTTATATTATTTTTTTTTATTCTTCTACCGTCTTGTATATTTGAGAAAACTAATTAAACAAAAGATGTGTTTCTCGGTAGACGAAAATAAATAAATATATTGATTAATAAATAAACACAGCTTCTACTACAATATGGGCATCAACTGTAAATAACGTTAAAGTAATAATAACTGTCAATATATATATATATATACACATATATTTTTTTCTGTTGTCTTTGCCAATACTTTTAGTTTTATCTATATCTAATTTTTTACATTTTAATTTTATAATTTTTAAATATATTTATATACATCTGTAATTTTTGATTGGATTTTTTTAGCCGACTTCATTTCTTATTAATATTTATAAACGTTATTTTTAGTGGGTACACGTATTTGAGTTGCTACCGCTTTTTTTGTTTGCTGCTTTCTTTTTTTTTTTTTGCTTCTTCAAAAGTGAAATTAATAATAAACTGGCCTAGAACCGGATGGAGAAATCTTATTGAAGAACCAATGTGTCTTAGAATATAAGAGCGTTTTTTCTGATGAAAAAAAAAGGGAAGCAGGTTCGAATTCGTGTCCGAGGACTAATTTTTTCTTTAATAAGACTTATCAATCTAGGCAAAATGTTGTTACGTTCACTGTTTAAAAAAAAAACGTTTATCGTATTAAATATGTGTGTGTGTGAACACTATATATATATATATATATATATATATATATATATATATATATATTATGACTGATGAAGTCTCGATATATATATAAATATATATATGTATGTATATATATATATATATATATATATATATATATATTATGGCTGATGAAGTCTCAGTATATATATATATATATATATATATATATATATATATATATTATAGCTGATGAAGACTCAATATATATATATATATATATATATATATATATATATATATATAATATGTCTGATGAAGTCTCAAAAGGACGAAACGCGTCACACGAAACCTTTTCCACTTTGTCATATATATT